CAGCCAGCAAGGCTGGCTGGGGAATTCTGGAAGTTGAAGTCCACCCGTCTTAAAGTTGCCAGGGTTGCGGAACCCTGGTATAGACCACAAATTTAGCATTATTATGATCTCTGAAAGAGGCGGATAAAGATGTTAATTTATGGCAATTGATAATTTTTGTTTTAATGTTATTGGTTGTTTTTGTAAACATTTCAATTAGTATTCTTAATACATTTTAGTAATCTCAGAAAAACAGAAGACAGAAAACAGAAGTTAGAAGATTTGGTTAATTCTGTTGGTCAGAAAGTGGCAGAATTAAAAGATAAGTATGTTTTTTTAAGACTTGTTAATACTATTCTAATACTATTTTTATTTTAAAGTAACACTTCCTTGTTGAAATGGGAATTATAATTGATTTCAAATTGCTTTTATTAGTTGTACATCTTAAAAATGCAATTGGTATGCAGGTTCCAGGCCAGAACAAGTGAAGCTGCTAAACTGGAAACAGAAGTCGTGAAAGCTCAAGAGACAGTGAAAGCTGCAGAGATACTGATTAAACAGCTTGATAGGGAGCATAAAAGATGGAATGCACAGGTTGGTTATTAAACCTTCAGTAGATCCATATTTTTGCCATTTCTCTTCAAGATAAGTGTTTTATTTCCAAAAAGCATTCTTAACCTCTTTCAATTCTTGTGAATCTTGTTTATTTGTGATGAATACTCCTTGCTGATTAATTAGGAAATAATTTTCTCTCATCCTCTCCAGTCAAAGGCTCTAATTTTGATGTTGCAGCCTATGAATCACTTGTGGGCAGTGTGATCTTTTGCCACCTTAAGAGTTATTCTGTTAGTTTTATAGTCTAAACCTTAAAATAGGCTGAACTTTTAAAAAAAAAATACCCAATGATGTAGAATTCTTTCCCAAACCCAGGAAATTTTTAAAAAAACCTCAGAAATTCCAGCCTTGTCTATTTACATCATCATACTAACCACTCTTGGATTCCTCTAAAATGTTAAATGCAACCCTTAGCCATTAAAATGTTGCCCATACCTGATTTAAATAATGCCCTTCTGCTTATACATAGGAAAGAGGTAAATTAAAAAGTGAGGTCTTCATGCTAGCCCATTAAAACTTTGGTACATAAGAATAATGGTGTTTTCACAATTTGTGGTCATTAAAATCCATTGTGTTCTTGGAGAGGAAGAAGCAAATTACACAAACAGAAATTATCTCTCTGGACAACTTCCCATCTGTGCAAAAGACCTATTATTTAGCATATTGATATATTGACTAGATAAATCAATAATCATACTGGAAATTGTTTCAGGTTTCAGAAATAGCAGATGAATTAAGTACACTGCCAAGGAGAGCTCAACTGTCTGCAGCATTTATTACTTACCTCTCAGCTGCACCTGAAGACCAGAGAAAAGCAAGCTTGGATTCATGGACGAAATCTGCTGGTCTAGAAAGTGAGAATTGTTCTCATGTTCTGCTTTTAAATTACAGCTGATTCAGTGATACACAGAATCTCAACATCAACATAAGTCTGTGTTAAGTGCATAATGGGGTGGGAAAAGAATACTTAGCAGCTAAGGCTGACTCTCTTCCTAAACCAGAAAAAGCAATAACAAATCAACTTTGAACACTTAGGACTTACTCCAATGACTTGGTGGAAGAGCAGTTTAGAGGCCAGTAATTGCTTTACCAGTGATGCACACCTTTCACTTTCTCTTTCATTCTATGGTATGAACCCCATGTCAGCCTCCAGTGCACTAAAAGATCCAGCTCTAGCATCTGAAGGGGAAGAGAGCCAGGCAAAGGCTCTGAAGCCCAAACACAGCATTAGTGCCAAACCTGAAAGAAAAAGGGAAGGGAGATTGAGGATAGGCCAGCCACCTTTGGGCTTCCAGAGAACTGGTCCTGTTCCTTTGCAGGTCCAAAGCAGTGGTTTCCCAAGAAATCAAAGAATCATTACTTTGAGGGTAAGTTCTAGACTGCCTTAAACACCATATCTTATCAACTCCAAGAAAATAACCACTGGAGAATTACAATAAAACCTTTTCTGTGCAATTCCTGCTCTTCAGGAAACTTACTGTAACATTGTGTGTATGACTCTTTATATCAAACTGAGCATAGATGGGAAGAAAGCATACATAGCCTTTCATCTTAAGATATGCAAAGGCTAATGGTATAAGAATATTGAGTTCTTTTTAAGCTTTTGTTTGCTGTGTCCCAAGACAAGGAATATCCTCTTTGAATCTCAGAAAAATATTTCTTAGCAAAATATTAGTTCTCTGAATGACAAGGAAAATATTCTGTCTAATTTTGTTCAGTTTTAAAGGCTTCATAAGTGGCAGGCAGGGGAGAGAGATCTCATTGTTCTAACCTGAGAGGTTTACTTCTTCCTTCTTTGTAAGTATCTTATACAGTAGTTTGGTCAAGTTCAGTTTTGAGGTTCAGTTGCAATAGCGGCAAAAAGTTGCAATCAGGGAAGGATTGAAACGTAGTGTTAATCAAGATTGTTCTTCCTTATTGACAGGTGTAATGGTATGTGGGAAAGACCTTGGGAGATGGGGGGAAGAGATACTACCAAGGGAACGGTCAAATAAGAGACAGCATAGCCCGCAGCTGCATAGCAGTGGAGCAGGAGGCTCAGGAGAGACCCTCCCTAAGTTTTTGGGCTGTAAAGGTGACAGTGAGAGAATTATATTTTGAGACTTGCAAGATTGATGTCAGCCTTACCAGATGGACTAGACAGGAAACATGACCAGATCAACTAATTCTACTTTATTGTAAAGCTACATTAATAGAATCTTGCAAGTCTGAAAGTAATATTCTCATAAAACATACATTAAGTATAATAAAATATATTTCTTTCTGACAATATAATTATATGTTTGTTGTGGGTGGGTTCAGTAATCAAAACGTTTTTTCTTCCTCTCCTTGTCTTTCTTTTTTCTTTTGAGATAACATATGTTATATCTATACCAGTTTAAGGAGTATGTGATCTTAGAACTTATTTCAAACTGAAGCTAATGTTTGAATAAATAGTTCCTTTTTGATTTTAGGTATCTGTTCTATAGATCCAGACAGATTTTCTCTTCTAATTGTATTTTATATATGTTTTATAATCTCTCTAATCTGGGGTTTTGTCATTATCAATAATTCCTAAGGAAGTAGCAGATACACAGTATCATGAAGCAAACATGGCATATGGTACAATATAATTTATTTGCAGTGTTGTATAAAATTCTTAGGTACTTATCAGAAATGTATAATGCCCAAGCTAACTCAGGAAAATTAAGAGAAAAACTTTTTTTCTTTTTTTTTTTTAGAATTTGATCTTAGGCGGTTCCTATGCACAGAGAGTAAGCAGTTGATTTGGAAAACTGAAGGTTTGCCCTCTGATGATCTGTCAATAGAAAATGCTCTTGTGATACTTCAGGTAAATTGTATTTTTTATTGTTATATTTTGGAAATGGCACTCAAGCAGCATGCATTCAGGCTGTATTTACTAAGGCTTAAATCAAGACTTTGTGAGTTGGTTCTGTTCCCAGTCTGCCTGACTGATATCAGTGCCTTCCAATCTCAAAAAATTCTGGGTTGAATGATAAAGTCTGAAGCAATGTTTGACTCACATTTATTTGACCATAAATAGAACTGTCAGAAAAGCACTAGGTTACTTAATTCTGGTCTTTGGATTGATGACAGAGGAACAGCTTCTTGTTCCCTTCTCTCTTTGATGAAATATTTCCAGATACTCCTTTTCTGATATTTACAGAGAGATGGAAGTCAAGAAAATCTATTAATGTTAGGATTGCATTATCTGAGGATGGTTTGGGAGTTTTTTCCCCTTACAAATCTAAGTGCGCCATTAGGTAATTAAAAATCTGAAAGGTTAAATATCTAAGAAGTGCAAAGGATTTTCATTTCTAAGAAGTAGGATGAGTCATACATCAAATTACATTACTACTTCTTATTTTATCTTTCTTGCTGTATGTATTATCTAAATAGTTGCCAGTACCAATGTTTCAATTTCTTTCTTTCTTTCTTTCTTTCTTTCTTTCTTTCTTTCTTTCTTTCTTTCTTTCTTTCTTTCTTTCTTTCTTTCTTTCTTTCTTTCTTTCTTTCGAAAAGGACAGGAGAGATAATTAAATGTAGTTTTATTCCTGAATTGTTTCCTTGTAGAATAAAATACAACTCTTTCTTTCTTTCAACAGAGTAAAGTTTGCCCGTTTTTGATAGACCCTTCTTCTAGAGCTACAGAATGGCTAAAAACACATTTGAAAGAATCACGCTTGGAAATTATCAACCAGCAGGTAATATTTGAACCTTATAAATTGTTCTGGATTACAGTAGGAAGTATCTTTTAGTCATTCCTTCATTTAAAATGAATGACCAAGAAAAGGGGAATTCTTACATTGTTAACTATATTAATTATATTACGTATCAACTTTAGAAGCTAATCACTTTCTCAGTGGAGCAAAGTAAGAAATGGAGTCCTTTAGGAATTTTTGTTGAGACCAGTGTATTTTAATTCATTCATAAACAGTCCTGACTTAGGAGAAGACAGTGAGCTAGCTATTTCTGTGGGTGGTAAAAAAACAAAAATGACTGTAAAGAACTCCAAAAGAATCTCTTTAAACTAGGTGAAGCCAAATAGTAAATGCAATTCATCATAAACAAATGAAAAGAAATGCACATTGGATGAAAAATTTCTGACTCCACATACATATTGAGGGGGGCTGAGAATTTAACCAGGAAAAGATCATGGGATCATAGTGGATAGATAGAGTAGTTCTGTAAAAATGTCAACTCAGTGTGTAGCAGTGGTGAAAAAGTTATATTCCATGCTAGAATCATTAGGAAAGGAGCTGAAAAAATCTGCTAATGTTGTAATGCTATTTTACAAATCAGAAACATATGGTATACAAGTGGTCCTCGCTTAGCAAACATTTATTCAGCGACCGTTCAAAATTATGACGGTGCTAAAAAAATGGACTTACGACCCATGCCCAAAGATATGGCCATTGCAGTGCCCCCAAAGTCACATGATCAAAATTTGGGCACTTGGCAGCCCCCCCACACTTAAACTGCAGGGGCGCTGCAACTCCCCCCACCCATCTATCTCCCCCCATCTATGCCCTTTTGGCCGCCCTGTACAGTGGCACTCATCAGCGACAGAACTGGGGCTGAAGTAGAGGCTGGGGCCTTCAGCAGTCTCAGCAAGCTGCCGCTGCCCCCAGGCCTTGACTTCAACCCCAGCACCACCACTGCCACTGAGAAATGCCACCTCATGCCCCACACCACTGGCCTTCTCTGCCTTGCATTGTTCCCCAAGCCATGCTTCTCAGTCCTTCCTGAAGTTGCTCATCCCATACCTTCTGCAACCCACACCTCTCATTCCTTCCCTAAAGCCGGCATCCCATTCTCGTGAGACCTGGGGAAGACCAGAAGGCTTCTGAAGGATCGTGAGAATGGGCCGCTGGCTTGCAGAAGTTATGGGACGCTTTGGGAAGGAACCAGACGATGGGATGATGGCATTAGTAAAGGAATGAGAGACATGGCTTGCAGAAGGTATGGGACATGTGGCTTCGGGAAGGAATGGGACAACGGGCCTCCAGCTTTAGGGAAGGAATGAGAGGCATGGCTTGGGGAATGGCGCAAGGTAGTGAAGGCCAGCAGTGTGGGATGTGAGGTAGCATTTCTCAGTGGCAGTGGCGGCGGTGCTGGGGCTGAAGTCAAGACCTGGGGGTAGTGGCAGCTGGCTGAGACTGCTGAAGGCCTCAGGCCTCTACTTTAGCCCCAGCCTCGGCACTGCTGCCACTGAGTGCTGCTGTGCAGGGCAGTCAAAAGGGCATAGATGCGGGGGAGATAGGCGGGTGGGGGAGTTGCAGTGGCCCTGCAGTCATAAGTGCTGCTGGGGCAGCTGAGGCTTCCAGGGGTGGCTGCAGCTTTGTGCCACACTGCAGCATCCCCCAAACTCGCACATGGCCTGCGCTGGGCCTCCTAGGGCCTCCCCCACCCCCCGAAGCATCCCCACACTCCTTACCGGAGACTTCATCCCCTTAACCACCTGCGATCCTTGCTTAATGACAGCAACTGGGACTGCTGGGATTAGGGTTGCTAAGTGAAGTGGTCATGTGATAATTTGCTTAATCACCACATTGACCTAAATTCCAGTCCTAATTGTGGTTAAGTGAGGACTACCTGTATCCATTAATAGAATATTGTATACAGATCTGGTGGTCATATTTGAAAAATCATATAATAGGACTGGAAAAACTGCAGAAGAGAGCCAACTCAATGAAGAGGGGCTCAAAAATGTCCTGACGAAGAAACTCTACAAAGTTTTGGGGACTCCTAGCTGGAAAAACGGTGACAGACAGGGGACATGAAAGAGATGTAGAAAATCATGCATGGCATGGGGAAAGTGCAAAAGAAAGGGTCTCTCTCTAAGAACACTAATAACAGGGGATCATCCAATAAAGCCAATTGGAAGGAGATTTATAACAGACAAAAGAAGCAATTTTTTACCAGTGCTTCATTGCCCTGTGAAAGTCATTATCACAGGAGATGGTAAATTCTATAACTTGGACAGTTTTAAAAAAAGATTGACTAAAATCATAAAGGACAGGATTATCAAAGAGGTATTAGTCTTGAAGGGTCAGTGTTAACTTCAGGTTGGAGACACTGTCCCTCGAAATACCAGTTAAAGGGGATCATTGGTGAGAGAGGAGTATGTCTTTGTCTCCTGCTTTCGACCATCCCAAAGGCATCTGACTGGCCACTGAGAAACAAAATGCTGGATTTAAGAGGAACCTTGATGATCCAGCAGGGCAGAATTTATAATCAGTTTTCCTTCACTGGATTTGCATAGATTATTTTCTTTCACATGTTTCTGAATGACTGAATTGCCTATACTAGATTCTGATTCACAGTTATGTATAGTCTTCCCCACCATAAGGAACAATTTCACCTACAGTATTTCTTAGAGTAGAGTTTATAGATGTTTGGTAGAAACCATGATGATGTCACATGTATCATGGCATCATGATGCAAATGTTGCACAGAATATAATCACTTCTTATGCATAATAATGTCATGACAGACCTGACATTAGTTGCCCCTCTTTGCCATCTCTACAGATGTGCATGGTAAGGTTGCACCAATTCAGCTTTATTCTCTTTAATAATTTTTCAAAATATTTAAATAACAAAGGGAATCATTCCTCTTATTCCGTTGTTAGCTCATTTTAATACTGGCCATATTGCAACATTCATCTAGCAAGTGAGAGAATTCAGGTAGTGGAGGATTAGATGTGCTGACTTCCACCTTTTCCACAGAAGCCTCTCTGAAATATATAGGTAGCTGAAATTATTTATTTAGCTAAGTCATCTACATATAATCTTTGATTAGTTTATCTTAGAGAAACAATATCAGACATTAACAACCATCCAGATTGTTACATGTAAAATATTCATGGAGTTCCTTCTTTCGCTCCTGTGATCAATGTAGTAGAGGGCATCTACTCTACACTGTAATTTCTCCTTCCTTGTTATGATAGCTTCAATTCCAGTTTGGTCCAGTTTATTTTTTCCAACAAATTAGAGATTTTGGAGTGAAAATTCTACGGTTATATCCAAAATGGCAAAATGAGCGAGGAACATGTGTGCAAGCATAATTCTGACACTATACTTTCCTTGTGTATTTTATGTATAATCAATAGGAAATTTTATTTCTGCAGGATACAAACTTTATTAATGCCCTTGAATTGGCTGTGCGATTTGGAAAAACTCTTATTATACAGGAAATGGATGGGGTTGAGCCTGTGCTTTATCCACTGCTTAGAAAGGACCTTGTTGCACAAGGTAAATTTCCAACTTAGCGTGTGGTTGGTATATGTAACTATTGTTTTGACTCTCAGGTAAAACAGTGAATTAAAAAGCTATTTATTTGTAAATCTGCTACCCATGTTTACAATTATATTCTATCTAATATATATTATACGTATTGTGTCAATATGTTGACCTAAATGGCATCTGTCAGCAAAATAGATTCCTCTTCTTCTATCAACCCCATGTATCCCCAAAGGAATGACCAGGGACTATCTGGAACATATATGCAGATGAGAGAAATGCATAACAAAAGGAGAAGGCATTAGGTGGGAGCAGAAATCTGCTCACAGAATTATAGGCAATAGAGTTCAACCTTCTGCTCAGGACAGGGATCTGAACTAGAGTATTCCCTAGTGATGGTTGCCTACCATCTATGTAACTGGCTCCATTACCAACTGGCTTCTATTAAGATTTTTTTTTTTCTCTACTGAACTCTCCTGGCAAGAACTTGAATGTGAATATGAATTTCAGCATGAATATACAGCTTCAATGGGAACAGAGATAGCAGAGGAAAAATAACTCTTTGTGGAAAGATTGAAAGAGTACTTATATAGGTGGGAAGTAATTTGCTGAGGACAAATGCCTATGTTAAAGGAAAAAAATAAGAGGTCAGCTATGTCCACATTGGCAAAGAGATCAAGCGGGGTGAGTAGAGATATTTGGATTTGGTAATTGGGAAAGTGTGACTTTCATAATCACTATTTCAGTGGAACACAAAAGGGCAAAATACAGATCGAAAAAAGCCACAACAAAAGAAACTACAAGAGAAAGAAATCAGTAAGTGGGAATTAGCAATGTGCCCCAGGAGTTTGGAGGCAAATGACAGAAGGGAAATTGGCAGTAGTTGGAGAACTGGTATGGGTCAGGAAATTTTGGGTGTGTGTGTTTTAAGGGAAACAGTATCATGTCAGTTACGTTTGCCTCTAGAACGGCACACATTACACCACTGCTCCACAACTGCATTGATTCTTGATTGCTTCTGGGTCCAATTCAAGGTGCTAGTTTTGACCTTTAAAGCCCTTCATGACATGGGTCCGGGTTATCTGAGGGGCCACCTCTTCCCAACTGCATCTGCCCATCCCATCAGATCCGGCAGAAGAGGTAAGCCGCAGGTCCCATCTGTTAAGGAGTTATATCAGGTGGGACCCAGGAGACAGGCCTTTTCTGCTGTGGCACCTGCCCTGTGGAACATCATTCCCCCAAGGTGAGACTGGCCCATCCTTGGTAACCTACTGGAAGTCCCTCAAAATGTGACTATGTGAGCAGGCTTCGGGATCTCAGGGGAATGGAGAATTGGTGAAATGGCTACATTTCCTGTAACACCGAAGATGCTCTCTTCTGGTCTTTTTAATAATATTGATTTTTTTTTGGTATTATGGAATGATTTTTAATGTTTGTTTCTCTTTATGGTTGGTTTTTATTGTACGCTGCCCAGAGTTACATTTGTGAGATGAGCAGCTATATAAATGTGATGGATGGATGGATGGATGGATGGATGGATGGATGGATGGATGGATGGATGGATGGATGGATGGATGTCTAAATGCAGTGGAACAGGAGCCAACGAAAACTTTATGAGGGGATATATGGTGGGTGGGAATAGATCTTAAATACAATATCTGCATTGTTGTGGCCCAGAACTAGAAGTCATACTATAAAATATGTTTTTACATTGAAGTGACGTTTTTCATTTAGAAAAAAAAAATACTTAATTGTGATCCATTTAACTCCATTAACAGATTAGCGAGGCTTTTTATAGTATCTGCGCAAATGAAAATCATCTAAATCAATAATTTAAATTTATATGAGTGTGTGTTTGTGTGTATTTTGCGCCACACAAATGTAAGGGCAGCAGATTAAATTGGTTTCAACACTATTTCTTTGCCCCCATTTGGATTATGGATAGTGAATGTATTGTTAATGCTCCTGCAACCTTTCTTTCACTCAGTGTTGATCTGTGGGACTTCAGACTCTGAAGTGATTTAACTGAGGAAATAGGAACAATTTTGCTGTGCAGAATTTCCCTCTGACCTTCACTTACAGATGCACTTTCCTGTGATATGTAATCATGGATATTGAACACAGGTTTTTCCTTATCTTGCTTCTGACAGTCATATGATTGTTTCACGGTGCTATATGAAAAATATATTTTATATTTTTGGTGAATTGGTAGCTATCCTAATCAGTATTCTACATTTTACAATGTGCAGGTGAAATTTATGTCATAATGAAGTAAATCAAAGCACAGCCTTTACCCCAAACAATCTGCAGCTGATTGGTTTTCCTAGGGCTGCATGGAGCCCCTTTGCTCTTGGTAAAAGGATTAAAATAATTCCTGATCATAAAGATTTTTCACTGTTCTTCCTATAATTCAGAGAAAAATGTTCTGCATTCTCATATATGTTGTTTACTTGATTGTATGTTTCAGTGCTTTGATATGTTTTTGTAGGACACTATTTATTTGCCATAATTTAGCAGGAAATTACCTTAGTTTAATTCATGATTTCATTCCATGTGTATCTAATAAAGGAGCTAGGGAAGCTCAGTGTTGTTCCTGTGGACATTATCTGTGCTTGCAGATAATCTCACTTCAGTTTGAATTTTAAAAATATATTTTTAATTAATTAAAAAGGAAGCAGGCATATTGCGCAGCAAAGTACAAGCTCCCAGATTTATCTTTATTCGCAAGAATGCCCTTGGATTCCACATGGGCTCCAAGGATTTTCTTAGAAAATGAATGGCAGCAGCCCAATGCTTTGTTCGTAAAGATGCTTACTTGCCTGGGAAAAAAGAGAAAAAAGTATGCTGGGGGTTCCTAGTAAGCATTTTGGGAGACTAGACAGATTGGTAGAGAGCAGTTTCTGGTAAATTGGTGTTTTGTGACTAGCTACACTCCTTGTAACAGCCAGTTAGTGAATGAGCAAACTTCCTATGGTAGCTGCTTTTTTGTGAATGACCATAGCATGCTTTCAAAATATAAAGTATGACCTAAAATGTTTGTGGACCCATAAGGAAAGCAGAAGATTATAACTGGCACTCTTGAAGAGTATTCAGAAGCTGTAGCTGGTCTAAAATGTTTGAACAGTTACAGGTACTTCCCAGTGTGCCCATATCTACAGCTGAGAGAGCTGCACTGGTTATCACTTGGTTTCCCGATGCAATTCAAGATACTAGATGTCACCTTTAAAACCCTTCATGGCTCAGGTCTGGATATCTGCAGGAATGCCTTCTCCCAATAGCATCTCCTCAGCTGATTACATCGAGTAGGGTGAGCTCTGTGTTCCCTTGCTCAGGGATTGCCCCCTACAGGGGCCACAGCAGCATGTCTTTTCAATCACTTTCCCCCTTCTTGCTTTGCAGTAGCATTCCCCCGGACATCCCAATTGCTCTTTCGCCTTTAGTATTCAGAAGTCCATTAAGGCCCTGAGGATTGGCATAATACTACGGGTCCATCTAGCAATGAAAGATGTTTTCATTTTGGTTGTGATGATTGCTGTGTATTTCTGCTCCTATATGTGGGACTTTGTACTTCAATTTTAATTTCAATTTTCAGTTTTGATCTGAGTAATGGAGACTAATTGTACATCATTCAGAGTTGGCTCTGATTGGAATGGCTTATATGCCCTGTTAAATGAAATAATGAATAAATGAATGAGTGAGTGAGTGAGTGAGTGAGTGATGAATTTTCTCCTGGATTTTAAATGCAGTATCCACCAGGATTTAATTCTGAGGTTGCTGTGGTATTATTACATATACTATAATGGCCTGCAAGTATTTTGAACTAAGAATTTTTATCATTTAACATTTCTTTTTTTTTCCTTTGCTCTCCACTTTTCAAATTCAAATCTTTATTTTGGTCATAGACCAACATAGCTCTCCAGTTTAATAAAAGATGAAATGCAAAGAACATATTAGTGACTGTATCATTTAAAATTATATGAGGCCTTAACCCATAGTCATCATTGCTGCTATACATTTTTTTGGTCTCAATTGGATAGATTAAGAATGGGTGTTGTGTAATGGTTAGATTATTCAATTTATTGCACTATCCTAGGCTTGGATAGTGCAATAGAAAGATGGAAGAAGACAGATGACAGCATCCACAAAATCTGGCTTAGCTGGACTGTTCTCTTGCTGCTCCCAGTGGGACTTTACCATCAACTGCTTAGTATGAGAAGTAACAGATCCTAGAAGTTTGTTATCTGTTTTTAATAATTATTATTTATACATCTATTATCATTTATGTAGTTTGCTATACACTTTTTATCTTGAAAGACAGGATATAAATAATTGCAAAAAATGCAATAATTGCAGTTTGCAATAATTGCAATAAAGTATTTATTAATCCCTAATAAATAAACTGAATTCTTATGTCTTTTGGACATCATTTCTTACTTTTAGTTGTGCTGACTGGGGCTTGTAGAATTTGTAGCGTAGAACTTTTAAAGGCCACCACGTTGCCTTTTCTGTACTAAGAAAAGTTAGATTCACTTAGTCCTGTTTAGAATAGGTTCATTGAAATTAATGGCTAAGAATGCGTCTTCTCTAAACATGAAATCTGAATAATTAAGATATCAGAATTAAAGTGATTAAGGATGGATAATGAATGGTTCATGTGCCCATTTTTTCACAGTTTTCTTCAGCTTTTCCACCCTGATGCTGACCTAGCTATGCTGGGCTAACTCCTGTAATTTCCAGCCAGCATGGTGTTTGCTTCTGAATACATAGAAAGTTATGTTAATGATTGTTTTATTATTATTGGTTTTGATTTAATAGAACTTTTAGCTTTTGCTTTTCAAAAAAATACTCTCATCTGGGTAAACTTTAACATTAGGATTTAGAAGATTTCTGTTCTAGATACATTATTTTCAAGAAGTGTATTTTTCCCTTTTCCTATAGGACCCCGATATGTTGTACAGATAGGTGACAAAATAATAGACTATAATGAGGAATTCTGCCTATTTCTGTCAACAAGAAACCCAAATCCATATATCCCACCTGATGCAGCTTCTATTGTTACAGAGGTTAACTTTACAATAACCCGCAGTGGCTTAAGAGGGCAGGTAAGCATCCAATAATATACTCTTCATTTTAATCAAATGAGAAAAGGATTTATATAATTTATCAAAAAAACATATATGTATGTGTGTGTGTGTGTGTGTATGTATGTGTGTATGTATGTGTACATGTGTATGTATGTGTACATGTGTGTGTGTGTGTATGTGTGTGTGTGTATGTA